CCGAGGAACAGCCGCCCCCCGCCGGGGGTCGCCGGAGGAAGCGGCCGGTGCAGCGGGGCAAACCCCCCTACTCTTACATCGCCCTCATCGCCATGGCCATCGCCAACGCCGCCGAGAGGAAGCTCACCTTGGGGGGCATCTACAAGTTCATCACCGAGCGCTTCCCTTTCTACCGGGAGAACCCCAAGAAGTGGCAGAACAGCATCCGCCACAACCTCACCCTCAACGACTGCTTCGTCAAGATCCCCCGGGAACCCGGCCATCCCGGCAAGGGCAACTACTGGACGCTGGACCCGGCCGCCGAGGACATGTTCGACAACGGGAGCTTCCTGCGCCGGAGGAAGCGCTTCAAGCGCACCGACATCACCACCTACCCCGGCTACATGCAAAACTCCAGCGCCTTCACGCCCCCGCCCGCCGGCCGCCCCGCGGCACCGACAGCCCCCTACCCCAACGCCCTCTGCTCGCCCGGCTACGGCCCCCAGCTCTCCGGCGCCGTCTTCCACCCCTACGCGGCCGGGGCAGCACCGCCGGCGCAGCATCCCAGGATGTTCAGCATCGACAGCCTCATCAGCGGGCAGCAGGCCCTGCAGCCCTCGCCGCCCGCCGAGTTGGGCCACCCGTCGCTGGGCTTGCCCGGAGCTGAGCTGGCTCCCGCTTGCTCCGCCGGCACCTCCGAGCCTCCCTGCTTCCAGGCTCAGCCCGTCAGCCCCGGCTTGTTGGGCCGGGCCGGCCCCAACACCCTGGCTTACCCCTACGCCGCTTCGCCGCCCCACCTGCCCGTGGCACAGGGCAGCTACTCTCCCGGCAGCCCGCAGCTCTACGGGGCTCCCAACAGACTGGCTCTGCCGGCCATGCGGCCCCCCGCCTGCGCCGAGCACGGCGAGCAGCTCCTGGGGCTCTCCGCGTCGCCGCTCGGCCAGTTCGGCTCCAGCAACACCTACATGAGGCAGCCCAATTTCCCTGGCCTCGAGCGGTACATGTGATGGGGTTTGGGAGGGTTTGGCTGGACGTCCCCAAGCTCCCATGAGCATCTCTGGACACGCGGACTTCTCCCCGCTGTGGGGATCGGCTGGGCTGGAGTCGGGGGTCCCCGGCCTCCGGCCGCGTGCGGACACACAGCTGCGGGGGGACGTAGCTCTTCTCTTTCTCGGCTTATTTTTAACTGGAGGCAAGGCGATGTAATTTTCTGCCCCATTCCCTCCCGGAAAAGGCGCTTTTTGGCTGCATCTGCCAGGCAGGGCTCCCTGTGCCCAGGGGGTGTCCCCTCTGCACAGCCCGACCCCAGGGATGCTGTCTGTGGCAGGGCACCCCAGGGCACCCTCGGGGGACCCCCGGGGTGAGGAGGAGCACACCCAGGAGGTGGGTGTGTGGTGTAACGTGCAGGAACTGTCTCACAAATGGGCTTTCTCCTCTCTTCCCTGAGTGCCTCCTGTGTAACTGGAATGAAAGTTATCAACAAAACACCACTAAACCAATTCACTGGATTTTAAATGAATATTTAAGATGTTTATCATTTCCTTCCCCTGTAGAAAAAAAAACCCACACCCTGACTACTTCTTTTTACTATTTTTAAAAGTAACTTTTATTGTTAGAAAGGACTTTTTTAAAATAAAGCTTTTCCTTCCAACATGTCTAGTGCTGCTGTTCCTCTGGCTCTGGCCGGACCTTGGCGAGAGGAAATTACCAGTCTTGTAACCGGTGGGAGACAGACTCATGCTGCTGTTGCGACACTGCCATGTCTAACATTTTTAGTGACACTTTCTAAAGCTGTCTATTTTATTACAATTTTTTAAAAAGCGAATGGTAACTAACCACTGCCAAGCCATGCGAAGACTGCAATAAGCTCTCTGTCACCTGCAAGGTTTGCCCACGCAGGTCTTACTGGACTTGATGGGTTTTATTTGCATAGCAGGGAACGTGTCTTCCCTCCGAGGAATCCCTTGCAGGTGAAACTCTGATTTAGCACATCAAATTAGGAAATCGGAGCTTTCCTTCCTAGCAACAAAATCAATTAAAATTCCAACCTGTTCACTAGCCAGGCTGCTGCTCGTAATTTACAGGACTGCCAGCCAGACTGTCTTGCCAGCTTTGAAGGCAGAATTCCCCATCCCTGCATTTAGCTTTTTTTAACTTAAACATCCTCTGGGTAAAAGTGAAAAGCTAGGATTTCTCTCCTGTTTTTCAAGGGTGTCCTCTGAAGCAGAGCAGTTTCTCGTAGTCCCTATTGCACCTTCCTCCTGCTTAAGGAGGAGTTGGATGTCAGTTAAGCATCTCATTCCCTGGCTGCTGGTCATGACCAAAAGCTGGGTCTACAGGCAGGTACGCAAGGAGTCAGCTTTTGCCCACAGCTTAGGAGCTCATGGCTTTTCATTCTTTTATGGCATGTGCTCTGTAGAAACTGAGAGTGGAGTTAGTATGAGGGGAGGGAAGAAAATGCTTTTTTCCTCTTGGCTTCCTTAAAATTGGGGCTTCATCTGTCTCTAAAAACTGGCAGAGCTCTGGTCTGCTGCCTTCGGCTGAGACGCTGGGCTCTGAGTCTTGTCTCTGGTCCCTCCAGCTTCACCTTCCCAGCTTTCACACTGGTCCCAGCAGCAGCTTCTGTGCTTTTCCCTTAGTGACAGCCCTGCTCAGAAAGGCATTGTAAAAAAACTTATCCCTTAAAATACTTTGGCTCTCTACAGAAGATACCTATAGACAGAGATCTTCTATCTAATGAAAGTTTGCAAAGCGCCATTCCTGTCCGTAACATACTGTCTGTATAGATGGACTGGAGGGATGCTGAAATAACTGCTTGCAAGGACAGTCAGTAGAAAGGACACTTGTCATAGCTCACGTTCATTCTCAGGGCCTGACCCTGCAATGTTTTGCAAACAAAAGCACTTTTGAAGTCTTGCCTAAGTATCCAGGGAGTCAGAGCCAGATACGTGCTCAAAGCACTGGGCCTGCTGGTTTCCCTCCAGTGCTGCTGGGTGGCAGGCTGGGACTCTGCTGGGTTGGCACCGTGAGCAGGAGGGTTGCTGAAGCAGGGGACAACCAAGTACTGGCATGAAAGGAAACCAGTGGGGGGGGGGGCAGAGATGCTGTGGTTCTGCCTGGGCGGGATGCGCTGGGAAGAGGTGGCTGAGCTGAGATATCTCAGACCAGGCTGAGCCTGCTCCTCCCCAGTCACCCTGGAGCCCTGCAGGAGTGGAGAGCCAGTGTCAGAAAGGGCTTTCCAAGTTCCTGGCATCTCTGGGTGTTAAGTACTGGTGGAGCCAGGGAGGCTCAGGGTGTCTGAAGGGCTGCGCTGTGGCTTGTTTCTGTCCCCCAGCCGCCTGTACCCTCCTGCCACGGAGCTCTCTGGAGAGCAGCACCCAGCTCCAGATCTGGGGGGGGGTCTGCAGGAGACCCATCCTACCCCTGTGCCTGTGCAAGAGGGGTCTCTTCAGCCAAGGGAGCTCTGGCATGAAGCAAGAGTCACTGCAGTGGGCTGGATTCCCAAAAACTTCGCTTGGGGAGAGTGGACGACCCTATCCCGGTGTGTCGGGACAAAGCCTGGTGTGCATCATTGGGTTGCACATCTTCCCAGGGCACCGTATCTCCCCGTCTGCCAGACAGCCCTAGCCCAGAGCCCCCTGCAAGTGGCAATAAACCACCCTCACCGCAGGTCTTATGCTGCCAAACAAGCTGGAAAGTGTGGGGAACAGACCCCTTTTCTTCTTTTTCCTGTAGATATTAATCCTTACATGCACAAACCTCTGGCAACTTGTATTGTGATTGTCATTAAACTAATGCCTTAAGAGTGTCTTCTTGGTTAACTTAATGTATCCCAACCAGGCTTTTAAGCTTTCATTTCAAAGCTTTGTTTACAGTTAGGGTGAATCTAGCAAATGAGTAGGATTAAAGTGTCATGTAAAGCATGAGCCTTGCTGGGACAGAGTAGTTTTAAGCTTTGTAAAGTTTATACCCGAGCCCTTCATCTGTTTTAGTGTCTGTTCGATGTCCCTGTTTAGTGAATAAGAGGGATTTGAATGAAACAGGAGTAATTATCACCCAGATTTCAGTTGTGAAACCAAATCTCCTTTGAAATCCTCCCCTCTTTATTTAGGGAGTTTAGGGAATATTAAGCAATGACAGTCATAACTATCTCGATCTTGCTCACACAAAAGCCAGAGGCAAAACTTTCTTTGCTTGCCGATATTGTGGAATGAACGTCATCCTTCAGGGTGATGGCAGGAGGTCCTCTGGACATCCCACGGTGGGGAGAGCCCCGTCTCGAGCCCGCTAGATGCAGCGGGGGGTTGGAGTTGATCCCAAGCACCAAAGAGATTTGGCTGGCGATCTGGGCTATTGCCAAGACAGTCTGACTTCTTAGGGAATGGCCCTTTGCAAATCGGGCTGAATTCAGATCTCTCAGGCTGCACATTCAGAAACAAATAACCAAAATGACCTGCCACTTTGAAAAGATGCTTGTTTTCCTCTGGGAAATACTGGCTGTTCAGGGAGGACCAACCGAGCCACCATGTCTGTCTGCGTACAACAGCGTTCTGCGTGTTTCATGCTTGTACCACCTTCCCACAGCTTCCCCACGGGTTTAAACAAGCAATAAGAAATGCTCTTTCCAGCTGATATTGCCAAGTTATAAATAGTGTTTTCCATCTGGTTGCAAACAAACACAGCATTAGATGAAATTTTAGTCAAAGCACATTTCCTGAAAACTTGTTGGTCCCTCTGGTAGTGTTAAATTTTGTCTGGATGCTGCCAGCTGCCCACTGGCAGTCCCAGTGTTGGAAATTTTATACCATAACTAGCTTTTATTCTATGCAATGCTTTGCCCTTTGCAAATACTGAGCTTGAAGACAAGTCAGCGATGTCTCTTTGAGGTCAAGATTGAGTTGATAAAGTCAGCCGGTGGTGGGGAGATGGGCAGTGGGTACAGTGGGACCAGCTGAGATTGGCTTTGCCAGGTGATAATGAGTTTTTAACAAATTAGTGTCTGGGAGTCAGCACTGCCCAAGCTCTGAGCTACATCTTGGGGTATCGGGGGTCTGTCACCGCCTCTGCTACGTTATATTTGGGTCCTTTACATTTGGGTCCTTCTTATTCTGGCAGGAGTGGGTGTGTCCTGCTTTAATCCCAGCCAGCAACTAAGCACCGCATAGCCGCTTGCTCACTCCCCCCACCCAGTGGGATGGGGGAGAGAATTGAAAAAAAAAAGTAAAACTCATGGGTTGAGATAAAGACAGTTTAATAGGACAGAAAGGAAGAAAATAATGATGATGATGATGATAATAATAATATGACAATAATAATAATAAAAGGATTGGAATATACAAAACAAATGATGCACAGTGCAATTGCTCACCATTCGCCGACCGATGCCCAGTTAGTCCCTGAGCAGCGATTCACCCCCACCCCGGCCAACTCCCCCCAGTTTATATACTGGGCATGACGTCCCATGGTCTGGAATACCCCTTTGGCCAGTTTGGATCAGGTGCCCTGGCTGTGTCCCCTCCCAACTTCTTATGCCCCTCCAGCCTTCTTGCTGGCTGGGCACCAGAAGCTGAAAAATCCTTGACTTAGTCTAAACACGACTTAGCAACAACTGAAAACATCCGTGTGTTATCAACATTATTCTCATACTGAACCCAAACCACAGCACTATACCAGCTACTAGGAAGACAATTAACCCTATCCCAGCCAAAACCAGGACAGGGTGATGCAGCGGCTGATTTTGAACAGGACCAGAGCAACGCTACCCCCCGCCGCTTTACCCCACGCGTGTAACTCCCCGGCGGGGGGGGAGGGGGGCGAGGGGGTGACAGGGGCGAGGTGGCCCAGGGTGACAGCCGCCGTGCTCAGGCCAACACTGACCTCCAGTGGAAAGCCCTGGGAAGCCGCTCCCGGCCCCCGCCACGGGCGTGGGGACCTGGGGGGGGGGGGGCTGGGGGGGTGTGGGGGTGCTCAGCATGTACCGGCAGCATCCCGGCCTTTGGGGTCTGTC